ATATAAACATAAAGTACTAAGATGGCACAAGATAATCAACTTAATCTAATTTATATGAGGTGGCAGGCAATTATTGTTTTTTGAAGTGAAATATATGGATACTGATAGATTTTATTACGTTACGATGTTTTATATTTCTGTAACAGTTCTCTTTAGCTGGACTGTCACTTCAATTTGGAATGTTAATCCCTTTAGTGAACCAGTTCAGACTACTCTGTCTCCTCAGGGTCCTTCAAGGGTTGCACATTCCCTTGAGGCGTTACTCTATTGCCTATAGAAGAGTCTATGTGTTATTGGTAGGATTTTGAGCTGAGAGTTTGCATATGGTACCATACTGGTTCAGAGAGATGTCAAAAGTCCATAGTGGTGACGTTGTTATGTGTCAACCTGACCAGTCTAAACTACATTTCCCAAAATTCCCTTCCTGAATGTTTCAAGAAAAAGAAATGTGGGCTAAAAGAGACATCCTTGTGTGAGATTTGTAGGGCAGAAGTGAAGCAGCAGTATTTCGTAACTCACACGCACTGTTGCTGGTCTGCTGGTTCACGTGTTGCATGGGGCAGCATGGGGCCTGCAAGTGCTCCACCTTCCCCTGGATCTTCCTTCAGCTTCTCTGATTCCTGGGCCATGACAAGAGGACCAGCTTCTCCTGAAAGACACTCATACCACTCAATAGTGGTCAGAGGTAGTAAGGTTTCATTTTGTCCTTGGGTGTTCCGGTTTGTACTTGTGTCTCCCGCTTTTTCTTGCCCTTTACTTCCACCTTCCCTTCTCAACTTTCTGTGGACTTCAAGCTCCAGCACCAGACTCAACAACAGACTCACAGAGACAGCTTAGGCAGCACTCACAACTGTGTACGGTCAAGTCTCTCCAGATAGGTAGATAGATCTAGCAGTAGATCTCCTAGTGGTTCCACATTTCTGTTTCAACCCTGATTGATACAACACCCCTGTCCCAACCATGCAAGTTTCTTTCTGTATAAGAATTGGCTCCAAGCTACCCGGATCAAAAACTGATCTTCTAAATTTATTTCTGGTTTTTATTCAGTGATCCTTGGTGATCTCTTAGCTGTGACATTAACTTGCGGCAGCTTGGCTTTTCACATATTATTAAAGGTCAAGATTTCATTATTTTTCCCCAAATCTTGTTTTCGAACCTAATATAGTCTTAACATCAATCGTTTGGCATTAGACAAGTGAAATGTGGATATTTATGTAATTTTATTTTGATACTTTACATTCCCATGGGAAGATCCTTTCATTATTATATTTTGTTGTAGGTTTGATAATGGTTACATTTATACTATGTCCTTTACCTTTAAGAATAATAACTAGGGGAAAAAATACTCCAGTAAATCATCTAAAAAAAAAATGCTGTTTCATGCAGTAGAGATTATGCAATAGTATTTGAACTAAGGATCATTTGTGCAAATTCTAACATACTTTACAAGTCATAGGTTGTTACAAACAATGGGTGACAACTTACTCTTCGTGGATAAAATACCCTATGTTTTATTTGGTAGTTGGATGGACTCATCTTGGTGCTAAACATATTTTGTGTTGCCACCACTTGTAGGAAAAATAATAAACATTACAAACCATTTTCCTGAGCTCTATCATTCTGTAGGACAGCATAAAATCACCCCTTTTATAGAGGTGAACACACTGGTTGGCTGAGACTGGATTGTTTTTCTATCTTTCTAAATCTGAAATAATTCTAATTCCGGAAGAAAATGTCAAAGTATGGCATTAGGAAGAAGATAATAAAAAAAAAATTAAACTCCCATAAAAACTAAGCTATAAGTTGCACGTTGCTGTAGGGTCATAGAAATTAGGATTAGGAGAGATAAACTAACCTCTCTAGTTTAGTGTCCCTGAATTGAAGTGCTTGGCAGTCTCAAGGGAATTGAGGTGATTGGAGATAGGTTCTTTAAAGCAAATGTGAGCATTTCTATATTTCCATGTTTATCACCGGGAATTCAGTTGAACTAGTGCCATTTCCTGCCCTTAAAGATCTTGCAATCTAATATGTTCCCGTGTGTTCCTAGCTTTGGTCTTAGTTTCTGCATTCCCCCATCTGATTCCATTCAATATTTTCTTCTTGCTCCAGATCATGAGCAGTTCTAACTCTGAGTTAGTGAGGCAGACTGACCTGGCCCTGAATCTCCAGATTCTGATCTTTGAATAAGTGAATCACTCTGTTATTCCTAGTGAGAGGAGACTCCTAGACCCTCCCAATACTGTCCTCAGCAGCTGGAGTGTCTGTCTTGGGAAGGCCTCGACACTGTCTCAGGCCCTCTGCTGCCCTGTCCTGGCTACAACTGCTACTTGTACACCTTGCTGCCAAGGTAGTTAATTCTTCTGGCTGCAGCCCAGTGGGATCTCTGGCCCAAGGAAGCATCAGCATCCAGGCCAGGGATGGCACTCGGCTTCATCTATGCTGCGAACTCTTAACAGCAGGCTCACTTTAGTGCTCTGTGACCCTGAGCAAATTCCTTAATCTCTCTGTGCTTCATTTTTCTAGTCTGCAAAATGGGGATAATAATATCATCTACCTTTCAGAATTGTTATAAAGATCAAATGTACTACTATTTGTGGAGCAATTTGAACAGTACCTGGCATATAATAAATGCTATGTAAGTGTTTGTTAAGGAAATTAAAAACAAGCAAATTAAGGTTAGCAGAATATGCCACCCCAAAATATGCCTCTTTGGCATAGAATTATTTTGAGTTGATTATTTTCGAGAAACAGCAGACACTGGAGAAGCTCAGAAAACAGAAAGTTACCCTATTATAAAGGAAAGTGAACTTTATAAAGGAAATCTCCATTTGTAGGGTGTCCCTCTCTCTGTACCAAGAAGAGGATGACTCTAAATCACAAAAGAATCTTATCAATGGAGAAGGCACCCACTTAAATCTATATACCAAACCTTATTCTTGTTTACTGTGCTTTTCCTGGTAACTCCTCATAATTGGCCTCCCCCCAACGCGCCTCCCCCCGCCCCCAACTTTTCTTTCTTTTGTTTTTAGCTGAAGATGGTATTTAAGGCGGTGGCTTGGGCCTTCTCAGGGAGTTAGTTTCCCTGGGTAACTACCATGTTTACATGAGGTATGCATTGTTAAATTAATTAAACAGGGAGTCCATTAGACTGATGTGGCTCTAATGCCATAGTGGCCTACCTAAGCAAACCAAAATCTAAGCCTGTAAAGACCTTGAAGTGACAAAATCAAAAGGCTAAAGACAACCAATAACAAAGAGCCAATTAGGCTTTAAATTATAGCCAATGCATCTGCTTTTTCTCTATAAAAGTTTCTCCTGGAGCTCCTGCTGGTGGAGCCCTCCTAACCACTTCCTGTTTGACATTGCGCAATTCAAATAGATTTTTGCTCAAATTAACTCAGAATTTTTAATACGCCTCAGTTTATCTTTTAACAGCATGTTAATAGACTTCTGTTCCCTTTTCTCTTGCTAATCTGTCTTTTATTACAGGGGTCTCACCCAACAACTCAGAAGGTAGATGAAAAATTATTTTTCCTCCCCTATACTAACAAACAAACAAGTAGTGTGTTGGGTAGAGAAGAGCTAGTGATGACAAGGGAGAGAGTTCTGGGATCAATTAGAGATGTCTTCCCAGTACACAGGAGAAGGGGATGAGGCCAGTGCGCCATGCATTTGTCGTTCCTGATATAGAGTCTAAGGGACTCAGCCTGAGACACAATTTTAAAGATGATACATTTGCAACTACTTTCCGACTTCTATTTTTCTTCCCTTTAGAAAAGATCTGACATGTATTCTCCTGAGAGTCAAATTTATTCATTTAGTCAACAACAACTCTTTTTTGAGTACCTACTGAGTTCAAGTCAGATGCTACATGTAAGCATGTAAGCAAGTTAAACATGGTCTCTTGTCCAGATAACGCTTAGATTCTGGTTGGTGAAAGAGACATTACACAGATAATTGTGTAATTAGTTGTTTAATTACAACTGCGAAGAGTACTTTGAAGGGTGAAGATAATGTGTAACAGGCGTTCCATCTAATCCTGTGGGTCAAGGAAAGTGTCGTTAAAGAAATGATATTTTAGCCTAAGAGCTGAGAACTTAGAGAATCTGGTTAGGCCAGAGGTTTGGCCTTGAGGAAAAGAAGGGCATTCCAAGCAGTGGGAGCAGCGTGGGTGAAGGCTCTGGAACCATTATGTCCTATCTGAGGTCCAAGAAAGAAGAAGAATTAATGTCTTCCTTTCAAAGGAAGGGGTGATAGGTAGCAAATGTTTTACATAATCACCTGTTTCCTCCAAGGGCCGACTGTGTTGGTGCTATAAAATTTTACCAGCATCATGCAATATCAGCAGGGAATATAGAGATTAGTTCTGATTGGGGGAAGGGAAAACTTCATGGAAGAAATTATATTAGCGTTTTAAAGGATGGATTGGGCTTCAATAGACATAAACTAGAGAATAAGAAGCTATAGACCAAATGAATTACTCTGATATTGTAAAATTTTTGGAATTAGCGGCATGGCAGAATTTTTTGTTTGTTTTTCCTTAGGTCCTCTCTCTGGGCTCCTGAAAACATACCATGGAATCTGCTGCCAGAACCACTTACAATGAAGTTATCCTGTTTACAGGTTTTAGATAATCTGTTTTTATTCTTTAATAAATAAGAAACGATGCCATTGTCTCCTATAAAATAGCTGAGGTTTTACTTGAACAAAATCTGTTTGGAAATGTTAAGCTGGTTATATGCCTCAAGGTGGTCATTCTCTCTGGATTTAAGCTGTGGAACAATTGTGGCTCCTGTTACAAGGAAAATGACAAAGGGCCATTATGAAAAGGGACAAAAATCTCTGTTCCCAGAGGGGGACTGACAAGCTGAAAGTCCCCATCTGCATGCCAACACAAAAGCCTGATTGCCTCGGATTGTTTGTGTATGTAAATCAAAAGACTGCCGTTAATTCTGCAAGGGGGACTGCTAAGCAACAAAGAAGGTGATGATTGGCTGGACTCTTGCGCATGGGCTGGTGGCAAATCTGACAAATCCCATTGCTTTTGTTCTAAGCTCTCTCTGGGCCCTATAGGAAAAGAAATTTGTTATTATGTACTAAAGCAAATAATTTGTATTCTTGGAGTAGGAGTTGGAACTATAGGACTTGAAGGCAAGAGAACGTATCTTATCAAGGACCTGTTCACTCAATTTCTCCAAAGCTCTCTCCAAGTTGGACTCAACTGTACATCATGACAGATGTTCCAGTGACTTTCAGTCAGGTTGAGTGTAATGGGGATACACTACCTGAAAAAGGTCAACAACCAATCACTAAAATCAACGAAAAAGCCAATGATGTGGATGGCACCCTACCATACTGTAGGGTAGAACCCAGTCTTGAAGATTTACCCACAGAAGGAAATCAGAAGAAGAGTGAAAAATTACAAAGGAACATGCTGCGCAACTGGTCCATGGATGAGAAGATTCTAAAAGGTAAAGCATCTTCCTTCTCTTCAATTTGCTTGATTTGATTTGTAAATTCAGGATTCTTTTGAAACTTCTATGATAGGGATGAACTATGCATCCTCCCACCCCTGTTCCTGCCCAAATGTGGCCCCTACTCTACTGGGGATGCATAACATAAGGACTAAATCTCTGCCTCTGGTCAAATCCAGGCTAATTTATTTGATAACTCTGTGACCTTAGACAACTTGCCTAGTCTCCTAAAGCCTTTGTTTTCTCATCAAACGAAGGCAGAAGAATAGTACTGACATCTGTAGGGTTGTTGCAAGAATTACTAAGCTTTGGTTAAATGTTAACTATTGTTATTTATTATTATTATAGACAGCCCTATTATTAATTGAGTAAAAGAAATTCATAATGTCGTTTTCCTTCTAAATATACCTGAAAGTGTCTGAATTCATGGTTCTATACCTTATAAAGATATTAAAGGAGAGGTTATCATTATGTTTATAAATTAAAGGAACCAATGAAGAAATGAGTTGGAAGAGTGAAATAAAAATTTTAGTGATTACAATTAAAAATCAAATAAATCTACCTAGATAGAGTCTAAATTGATAATTTATTTGCCCTTGAACTACTTAAATGTTAAAACATTAATCTTGTGGGTTTTTTCCCCAGAAAAACCAGAGGAGACTCTCTTTATTGTTCATAAGGCTATCACAGATCTTTCTCTCCAAGAAACAAGTGTTGATGAAATGAGGTTCAGAGAAGGTAAGAGGAACTTCCATTTTGTACACAGAAATTGTTTGACTGGATATTGGTGACAGTTTTTGAATGGGATGTTGTGTGAGTGTGGTGTTGAAAAAGCAATCCAGGCAATGCTTTCAAAAGCTCAAAGATGTTATAGGCAGATAAGGGATTCTGGACTTATCTGTGGGTTCCACCTTAGAAAGCATTCCAGAACCTTCAAGACTGAGACTGCATGATTTGGTATAACTGACTGACATGCTTTGACCTTAAGATCTAGTATCTGTCTCTTAATAAGTTAGCCCACTAAATCAACCTTTCTTTTTGATTTAGTGTCTTCAGATCTGTATCAAGCACCTTGTGAAATGTAAATGTTTCAAAAATGGGTTTATCCTAAAAGTTTACCATCGACATACATTTTAAAATAATCTTATAAATTTATTTAATCTATAGGAAAATTCTAGGCTTCTGATGTAAGCACAAAATGGTTATCTAAGTCTTGTCAAAGGAAGCTCCCAGGGTGCTGAAGTTAATTTTAATTGTGTTCTTTCAGGAAATGGGAGAATAAAAAGAACATTGATTTTTAAGTGACTATGTCATATTTCAAATAAACTCAGGAGACTAAGAGACACAAAATCTTTTAGACTTCTCTTCTAAGGAGACTCCTACATTCAAGCAATTTTCATATACAGTGCAGGATAAAAATCTGTTAATTAATCATTCATTTCCTCTCTTGCAGCCATAAACATCTTATCTCAAAATTGAAGTTAGCTTGCTAGACCTAAGCAATTTAGCTTAGTTAGGATCTTAGGCAAAATATTAAAGAGACTCTTGGTCAGAGTATTAGAACGTCATATAAAATAGTAAATGCCAAGGAAGACATGGATGTGATTGAAAATATCCTGTGTTTGTCCCCTTTGCCTGGACACCTCTTAGACTATGTCTGCTGACCTCACGCACTGGTCTACTGTATAGACACTCAAGGAGGGATATAGTAAGCAACAGTCGTTGGCAAGCTCTTATATTATCAGAGATAATTTATAAGATTTAAGCCCCCATGAAATGAAGTAAACAATCTCTTTGCCCTAATCTTTCTGCTTCCAAGGTAGCAAGCTCTCAGAGTCAGGAATCTCAATCTTCCCTCTATAGCCCTTTTCAAATTAATGATCAGGAAGTCCACCGGAAACAACAGTTTTGTAGGATCTTTCATTTTGATCAAATACAGAATGAAAGCAGTCTGGATTTTCAAAGTAGATGGTCTTGGGGTGAATTTTTCCCTGAATGAATCCTTTTGTGTTTGGTGGAGCACATGTTTTTCCTGTAGGATAGAGGTACACATTTTGGTGTCTTTTATTTTCACAATGGCAAACACCTATAAAGTCTCCAAAGAGAATATTCTTGGGTTGAAAAATAAGAAGATGCTAAAAATATTGAGGAAAAACTATAACTTAAATTCAAGAAGTAATTTCATGCATGACAACTCCATGCACGAGTCATGAATATGAGCAAAATGATCAGTTTCTTTGGTTCTTACAGACAAAAAGAAAACAAAACAAAGCTTAAGATTATAGCAAACATTCTAATATTTATTTATAATGCACAGAACATTGACTGGGCACCAACGACGTGATAGGAGCTGTGCACAACTAGTTAGGAGTGATAATTCACCTTCACTTCTATCTCTTTTTGAATTTTGCAATCTGATTCCTATAGCTGGAAAAACAAAAAAATGAAAAGAGAAGGAAAACTCTTTGATGGAAATGGACTTGTGAACATCTTTCAGTGAAAGTAGAAAATTGTGGAGGGGAAGGGCGAGGAGGAATGTTGCCTCTCACCTTATTTAAAGACTCTTCTGGGGTTGAAGGGGTAAAGTGAACCCCAGGCCTGATAAGGGACGTGATGCAGAGAATATTTCTGAGTCATGCACACTACACACTGAAGCTTCCCATAGAAGTCCTTTAGGGTTGAAAGCCCAGAGAAAAACTTCTACTCTCTGATAATTAATTCTTTTTAGCATGCTCAATAAATATTATTGAGGATATGCTGATATGAGCTAACTGTTTGAAAGTGAAATTTGTGATGAATTAAGCCTTTTAAAAATCACTATATGGTATTAAACAACGTGAGTTAATTTGCGTCATTAGGGGCATGTCTAAAATGATAGGCTAGTCTAATACTATGCAGATATGACCTCGATGTGAGTTTTAAATCTTGGCTCTTTTGGCAGATCTTAGACTATGTTGTGTGTACTTTGCTGGGCTTGGTGTCTCAGTTAGCCCAGCACACGACTCCTGACCATCTGTGGCCCTCTGCTCCTCCCTCTGCACCTGGCTGGTACTTTAGGACAACTCTGAGAAGCATGGTGGCAAATACTGAATGTGCTACTCTGAGCATGACCAGATGTGGGCAGTCAGTCATTGTTTTTACTATTGGGAGAAAGACTGTTTTTCCCTGTGAGATATTTTTCTAATTTTCCTTGAGGAGTGTGTGTGTGTGTTTGTGTGTACGTGTGTGTGTGTGTGTGTGTGTAAGATATAGGTTGAAATATTTTATTTTATATATTCACATATCCAGTCATGACAGGCTAGACAAGATTTTAAAAGTATGTCTCAGGGAATACCAGTCTCACTGGATACAATAATCCACAACAAAAAATGTTCTATAGGTAGATGAGGTTGGGTTGCCTACTTCTCAGAGATTTATGATATTCATTAGCATTTTATAGGCTTGGATAAATTCTGAAGAAGTTTATTTAACTGTATTTTCCAAACCAACTTGATAGTGTAGCCTGTGTTACTGTGTAATACGTATTTGTAACCCACAGAATAATATCCCATAAAACACATTGGGATATGATCGTTTAGAAAAATACTTTGGAGAATAACAGGTGGCTATTTGGAACCAGCTGGGTATTTGGAATCTCAACTACCAATTGATTTTGCTACAGGGCATCAGTGGGAGAAGGTTCATCTGAGCAGCGGTAACCAGGAAATAAGCAGACCAAAGGAAAGGATTGCTGAACAACCTCTAGAAGAGAGAGAAGATGAGGATAGGAAGAACAAAACTCAGCAGGCAGCTGAAATTGAATGGCTGGGATTTCAGAAACCTTGCCAAGTTGATGTGTTTCATTCTAAACATGACGAGGAACAAGATGTTTGGGATGAAGAAATTAACAACACTGATGATGATGATTGCAATGATGACGAAGATGAAGTTCGAGTGATAGAATTTAAGAAAAAAAATGAAGAGGGTTCTCAATTACAAGAGGAAGCCGATGTAAGTGAGGACTCCCCACTGAGCAACCCCAGTTCCCAACCTGAGACACCTGATGAGCAGCCACCCTTTGGGAAGAAGAGTGATATCTCCAGAAATGCTTATTCAAGGTACAATACAATATCCTATCGGAAAATCAGGAAGGGGAACACCAAGCAAAGAATTGATGAATTCGAGTCTATGATGCATTTATAAACTAACTGGAACTGAGAAGTTCTCGTGCCCACTAAAGCAAAAGCTAATTGTATTTTTCTGAGATGCATCTTTGTATGCCTTAATTGAGTCCTCCCCTTTAAAAATGTGGAAGCTTGCTTTCTTTTCACTGTGGAATAATGTGGAAATAACCCTAGACAAAATCCAGTCTGGTAACCTCAAATCAAAAAGCTTTAGATTCATTCTTGGACATTTGCATTTTAAAACTTCACTAGTATAGCATTGTATAACAAGCACTAAACAGCCAGCACCTCTGGGGAATCTGACACGGTTTGGCTTTCAAGCAGCAGTGCTGGGAAATGTAGTATCAAATGAAAGAGGACGATTCGAAACGATTCCTGTATTTCTTTTGGTGTCTTTTTTCCTGTACACAGAGGGTGTTAAAAAGTCTGGTATTAAACCTCTGTTACTTTTAAACACGGTTTTACAGACTTTAGCAGTAAACTTTCCAACATACTTTGCCTTTCCCATTACCTTCAAAAAAGATTTTAAGTGTTTTTCCTTGGCATCTACGGAGCAAAAATTTAGTATAGGCCTCCTTCCTAGGTGTTACCATTCATTGAATTTTCTCACTAGAAAGGCTGAGCAGTTGTCAGTCAGGAAAACTCTGTTTAGTAAATGTTGGCTTGATGCTCTCAAGATGAATTGAATCCATTGTGAGGTTGATACAGGGAGGGGCTGGAAGATTGGTGGGCAATAGACTAAAGAGTTATATCAGATAGTTTATTTCTGTGACCAAAAATAAAATCTTGTCTAGCACAAAGTCATTAAAAGTGAAAACGACAGCTTAAGCACAATTTTTAGAAAATGCCCCTCTCTATTACCGCACTTTCTCTTATTAACACTATCTCAGAATAGTTTTCTTTCCTTAGAAACCTGAGACAACTCCAGTCATAACTGCACTAGTTACTATGAAAATGGAAATAATTATCTTATAGTATTTTCAAAGTAGAGTGTGAGCACGTATTTTTAGTGAGAAACCTCTGATAAGTTGTTGGGAATATATAGTGTACTGGACCTCAGCCCAAATCAAGATACTTAACATTGTGCTCACGGAGCTTCATTCAAACCAATGTGTCAAATAATGTATCGAATATTTATGAAAAGGGAGAGTCTATATTTATATTCTTAGATAGTTCCATAATTTTTCATTTCATGCTTTCATATATATCACCCTGAACTTTCTGTCACCACAGATAAAGATATTTTTTGGCCCTGCAAATAAAAAGACAATTCCTTATTGTCTGAATGTAATACAGTCTTCATTGTACTATTCAACCCTTTGTTTATTTCTTTCTCATTTTGTGAAAAACCCTGGTTTAGCCCTTCTTAGATTATTGCTTATTTATGTGTAACAAATCCCACACATTCTAAAGGCAATTTCTTTGATTCTTCCTGGTCAAATAATATATTTCCATAGTATCATATACTATTATTTAGTGTTTACGAGTCTCAATTTTGAATTCAAGATTGAAGTGTTCCTTTTATTCTTTCAGATAGTTTGCAGCCAAACCATATAAAAGTTTTGTCACTCTTAATCTATAGAACCTATAGATTTTATTCTTGACAATGCAAGTTTTCAAAATAACGTCCGGGAAATCAAGTCTTTACTGATAAATTTAGGTAGATGATTGATGCACTAGGACAATTTCCTGTTTGTTTAGAGCCTCTAAATCTTCCCACCTGGATAACATATTTTCTTCTCTGGATTACTGATGACCCCTACAATTTTCTACTTAACTTCAAAGCACAGTATTGTGTTATCCACCATGGAACAGGACCATGTTGTTAACATACCATAGACAGAGCCTCTATTTTGAATTATTCCAGCAGAGGTGATGAATTCCTATGGAACTTGAGCGAGGTGGGTGGCTTATGGCCATGTGACAGAGCCAAGCAACTAGCTCATATGGGGCTCCAACATATAGTAACCCTGACCTTTTTAGCTTTGTGCTCTTACCAGACGATTAACCGAACATGAAGGATTTTGTCAACAATGACTTTTTCAGGTTATGTTCAATGAGTAAATGCTTAGTGCCCATGGATGAGGCGTGTAGTTGCAAAAGATCACTGAAACTATTCTTTGGCATTGGTGTCCATTGTCCTATGCTGCCATCTTATACTGAGGCCACAGAGTTAAGTGACCATAAAGTAATGTGACGGTGATGGGTGGCTGTTTGATTCTTTGTAACCTAGGAAAGACAAGGGTCTGGTTCAGATTGCATGAGCGATATTTAACACATTTGAAACTCGTATGGGACACGTCAGAACACAAACTGGTAAGGACACAAGAAAGTTTATCATTTTTGTGATTCAAGGTTCAAGGGTGAAAGAAGGACTCTGCTATCTGGTAGGAAGGAGACTTGATTTATTGTGAGAATGCTGATATTTCTTACGTGACTTTTTATTTTCCTTAATTGTTGGGCAAACAGGAATTAATAACAGCCCTATTTTTCTGTCAATATAAAATTTACCTTTCATATAATGCTACCTTTGAAGTCACAGACTACGTCAGAATCTATTGATCGATCGATTGATCAATCGATGTATATATCTATCAACAATTTAAATAAGGAGCTGCTGTGTCTGACTTGCTTTCAATAAAAGTTTATGTACTTGTTTTTGGTGTCTAGACTTTATTTTTTTTAGCTACCTTTTACAATTAAGAAAGAACCCTTGCATATGTGTAGTTATTAAGACCATCAGTAAATACTGTTTCAGAAATCAAGAGAACACCATATTTTAATTCATTTGCATTATTTATTTCAAAAAGATCTTAAAATGACTGTATATGAAATTGCAAGAAGAATTTTTGGTGGGTAGACATGTAATGATCATGAATATTTTCTATTATTTTTACAGGAACTGACCTATTGTTTTAGACACATCTTAACTCCAACAACTTGAAAAACATAAATGTATTTTTGTTAGTCATCAAGGTAATACATTGAAACTATGCTGACAGTTTTATAGTAATTATTTCTGCATATTTACATGGGGTAGTACTTTTGGCACATTTTCAAATGGAGAATGGACATTTAAGTTTTTCGAAATGATAGGAAAATCATTTAAAATAAGTAATAATAGAGAATTATGGAAAAAGATGAAGCACCAGAGTACCATAAAAAAGAAATATGTTTGACCATATGAGAAAAGTAACGACTTCTTTTAAAGCCTGAACTTCATTGCTCTATAAAAACAAAAGGGCTATAAAAAGTAATGTCAAAAGTTATAGCAAACATTTGCCAATTTTAAAATATCAGGCAGTAATATAATAAATATGAATACCAAAATGTGTATACAGCTCATGAAGAACACAAGGTGACTAGGCCATACAATCAACATGAACACAACGACACGGGTAGTAAGGAGCAGCAGAAATCACCCAGATATGTGACAAACTACAAACTACAAAATCAAATGATGATTTCTAGTAATTAACTGCCAGCTTGGGAGAGTTTTGGAAACGAATTTGGAAAGCAATTTGAATTTTTACTTAGAAACTTAAAATTACATATTTGATTCCTTCTTTTTAACAACTTCAGTTGGTCAGAGGCAGAAAAACTGGGCACTTAAAATGTTCAAATTAACTCCAAATTCCTTTATACTCCATAGTTTTAATCTAGTTCTCCCATTAATAATGTTTTCAAGTAATTAATAACAAAATTCACTAATTTGACCTTTGCCTTCTCTTGTTTTTACGTCCACTTCTTATAACTAATATGTATAAAACTAGCAACATTTGGGTAGTTTGAAGGAGAATTAAGGCATGTGCATAATCCTAAACTGAATAACAAGCATTCTGATAATTTACAGTTTGGTTACTCCTTTAAAATTTGGAACACAATACCCAGAGCGAAAGTCCACCTGAGATACTTTTGTCCAGAAGGCAAGATGCAGACAAAGCTATGCACTTAAAAGACTTAAAAATATCTAAAAACATATCTTAGTTTTCTTTATTTGTAAGTAGAAACTCTTGGTTTTACTTTCTCCCAATTCAAAGCATAGAATATAGAGACTGATATATTTATATGTACATATATATGCATATATAAATACATATATATTTACAAAGATCGATGTGTTTTTGAACGGTCAAGTAAAGGCAATCTATTTATGCTATCAGAATTTTTAGTTTCAACATCTAATATAAAGGCTTTATTTACATAGATATTTATGATCAATATCCTTAAATAGCAAGTATTTTTAATCAATAATAAAATAGAAAGTCTCTGTTTTCAAAGAAATTATTTGTTACTTATTTGATGACAACTGTCATTATTAGAAACTCGGCATATTAGAAGTTGCTCTGTTTGCCAGGAAATGAGAATTTTCATGTATGTTTTTGCAAAGCAAAACATAAACTTGCAAAGAGTCCCTAGTTGGAGTGGTAACTGTTAGCTGACCCATTAGGTTGAAAACAGAAGCATTAAACCTTCTTAGTGTAATAGTATTTTTTTCTTTCTTTTAGACACAGGCACCACCAACACCTGAAATAGCATCCATTAAACCTCATCAGAAGTGTATAATACTTTACATGGCTTATTCAAACTTGTCCGTGGAATGGCTATTTGGGAAAAATAGATATTGTGTATATTAGCTTTGGTTAGTGTTCCTTTTCTCATTTCAAGGCATTTTGGCTTGTAGCAATTGTTGAGAAACCTATGCAAAAGTTGTCACAAAAGCACAAAAGTAGATGGTGACAATCTACACAATGAAGTGAAAATTACAAGTCTTGGTTTATGTTTTAAATTAAAGGACTCTTCAATTTTTCACTTCCCACCTTTGTTCAAATTAAGCAATCTGTCAGCTTTGATTAATGGTTGGGGGAAGATAGAGTTGCTAATATTATTCACAGAGACACAATCTCTATATGTCCACATCTCCCTTTCATACTTGTTTTAGGAAATGGAAAAGGATATGTCTTTCACAGAGTCGAGGAGATAGACCACTGCAAAGCATGTGGGCATAGCCACTCTTAAGCCTACACTTCAGTGTAACAGAGAGGGATGCGGCCTCTCTTTCCTTACACAACACCCAAGAGAGAGACCAAAGAGGTTTGACTCCACGCCGAGGGATTTTAACTGAGCCCACCTGAACTGATTGTCTTACTTAAAGAAAAAAAAAGAATCATAGCAGCAGGGTGTAGTGAAAGCGACTCTCTCTCTTTTTTTTAAGTCAGATTGGAAACTGTGTTTTATCTCTTACTAGTGGAATGACCTTAGCCAATCCCTCTTAGCCATCCTCTTTGTCTGCACAATGAAGAAAATGAGACTCACCTCACTGAATTACGCACAAGAGTGAGATGGGGCACAAACAGTGCCTAACACATAGTAGATACTCAAAGATAATTAGTTCCCATCTCTTTTCTCCTTACTCCTTGTAATCTCCTTGTTTTTCTCCAAGATATTGGGGTCTTCATGTGAGGCATAATTTCTTTCCTATGTTTAAATGTAGAAGTTAAATTAAAGACATTAGAACAAATAAAGACGGTACTATCTGATGAACCTCAACCTCATTCTCTTGCATGAGACCTCTTTGAAAATCATTATAAGCCATTCATGAAATCAAGATTAACTGGGGAAATTGAATTCCTAGCCACTGTAACTGGTATCTTTGCCCATCTACAATCCCTAAGGCAATATTAGAAGCAAGATGTTTTTTATTTTTTCCTTTGTTTTTTGTGAGTAGGACCAGCCCTGAGCTAACATCTGATGCCAATCCTCCTCTTTTTTTCTTGAGGAAGATTGGCCCTGAGCTAACATCCGTGGCCATCTTCCTCTACTTTATATGGGACGCCACCACAGCATGGCTTAACTAGCAGTGTGTTGATGCGCGCCCGGGATCCGAACCTGAGAACCCCGGGCCACCGCAGCGGAGCGCACGCACTTAACCACCTGCGCCACCAGGCCGGCCCCAAGATGTTTTAATATCTAAGAGAATATTTCTAAATTAGTGTGGAGAAGCTAACCATACATTATGATCATGGCACATGGTGATTTTTGATCCTGTGAATGACAGCTGATTGACTGTCAGCAAGCAGAATTGAGCGAATTTGATGCTGGTGATAAAACATGGTTGTACCAACAACAGCTGTGCCATCCTTCAGGAGAGTAGGGTGGAAGCTCTGGATGACTGTTGCAAATGAGAAAAGAATTGTGCAAGCTGAAAAGCTCAGAGGCACTCAGATGGTCTGGTAAGTTAGTTTTTGATCAAATAAGTCCTGTAAAATATCATCAAAACTACGCCCGTGTTAAAGGTAACAACATAGACATTTTTCTAAGAAAAGGCAATAACTCCAGCCAATCCAGGGTAAACTCTGAAGTCCCCAACAGCACAGCATGCTACTAAAGAATTCAGGGCTGATTAGAACCCTAATGTGTCCCATCCAAGGGTTTCTCATTAGAAGTACCAGAAGACATAGTAGTATTTTTACCGTATTATAATCTTCTGAAAACAAAATTTAGAGAGCAATGCTTAAAAAAATGTTGTTAGTAGATTACACAATTAGTCAATGCTCTTAAGGTTGGACCCATAAGATTCCTAACTAGTGGTTAGTTCCTTGTATCTTAGAGTAATTGAGCAAATACATGGTAAAAGCTGTTTTTAAAATTCTACCCAAGAACAAATATGTGATGTATGAAAACAATCCTTTGTTACATTGACAGTATAGATCAGATATAGCTTCATATAATGAGTATGTCAAAGTAAAGTCAGCAAGAGCGTACACTGAACAGATCATAGAAGTTTCTTTTGAGAAAAAATTCAAATTTCTTTAGCTAGTATACCCAAAGGTAAATGTATCCAAGACACAATTAATCTTTTTCTGAATAAAGTTGATGTTTTTGGTGGAAACTGTTTTTGAATAAAAGAGAGTCATTAGACTGGGGGAAAACTTTTCAACATTTTTCAGTTACATGAAGAATTGCATGAGGCACCCAGCATATTCAGTTTGGTCAGCAATGCAATTAGTCCTTTGGCAACCGACTGTGTTTTATCCCCCATATGGCTCTGTTTTGAAAAGAATTGTCTCCTTTCCTAGTCATTCTCTTACCTTATCTGCAATGTCAATGATTCAAGTAAAACATCTTAAATATGATGCAAATAAGCAAAACTATTTCCCCTTCCGATTCTTAGTTGTTGCTTTGCTTTTGTGTAATTAGTTGGGAGTTTAAATTTTAAATACGAAGTCAGAAATAAAGATGCCCAATTTTACCATCAGCTCAAGTGAACAAAGGTTTTCTTTTTTATATTAACAAGCATATAGCATGGTGGTCCTCCAGAGACCCAACACCAGCAAAAAGATTTAGGTATTTCTTTCATAGGAATGGTGTGGAACAGATTTGTTTAGGTCAGTGGCCTGGGGCAATTGAATGAGTCTTGTCTCTGGAGATGCAAATTCTAATCCTGATTCTCTAACTAACTGGCCTGGGATTTTTACAGGTAATGTGTCTTCTGGGCATCAACTTTCTTGCCAAAATGAACGTAAAGGATATCAGGATTTCTAAGATCTTTTCTGGTGTGCCTAATTATTGGCATATCTAAGATTAGGAGCTCTATTTGGATCAAAGAAATATTGGACTTTCCCCCTGATTTATCAATGTTACCATTAGGTCCAC